CCTCCGTGCACCCAGAGCGGCTCCTGCTCCCGAGACCCGGGGTCGGCCGCTCGCCGGGCGGCTCCGCAGCTGGGCCTGGGCCGTGGCGAGCGCGGTTCTTTGCAGCTTCTGGCCATGACGGGGGTGGGGGTGGGGGGTCGCCGCTGCCCGCCCTGGGTGGAATTCCAAGGCAGGCCTCGGAGAAGGCTGCTAAATCTCGAATTTAAACGTTAAAGGAAGAATTAAAATGCTAATTAGCACGTATTTGAAGAATTCGAAACGGTGACTGGCTTCTGAGTTGCAAATTGGATTTGCGGCGCTCCGGAGCGGTGAACGGCGGAGCGGGGGCTCTGGGGTGTTTTTTTAACCATATAAGGGCGGGGAAGGGGGAGCGGGGGGAGGCGGCGGCGCTGGAAGCGTCCAGAGAAATTTAGATGTCAGGAAACTACCTGCGGGCCTGCGTGTGCGCGGCTCGGGTGAGGGGGAGACATGTTATTTAAAAAAGTAAAATAGTTCACGAATTTAGGAATGAAACGACAGCACTTTTGCTCAGCGGCTGGCTTCGAATCGCCCGCTGCGTCTTTCCTGCTCTTTGGCTGCGGGAGCCGCGGCTCAAGCCCGGGAGACCCACCGTGGGAAGGGCGGCCGTGGGCGGGCCGAGGGGTCTCTCGGGGAGGATGCCTGTGCGTCCCCGCGCACCCCACTCACGGGCTCTTGTCGGTTCCAGGGCGCGCCCTACGACGCTCACACGACCGGGATGACGGGCGCCATCAGCTACCACCCGTATGGCAGCGCGGCCTACCCGTACCAGCTCAACGACCCCGCGTATCGCAAGAACGCCACGAGGGACGCCACGGCCACGCTCAAGGCCTGGCTCAACGAGCACCGCAAGAACCCCTACCCCACCAAGGGCGAGAAGATCATGCTGGCCATCATCACCAAGATGACGCTCACGCAGGTCTCCACCTGGTTCGCCAACGCGCGCCGGCGCCTCAAGAAGGAGAACAAGATGACGTGGGCCCCGAGAAACAAAAGCGAGGATGAGGACGAAGACGACGGGGACGCGGCGAGGAGCAAGGCCGAGAGTCCCGACAAGGCTCCGGAGGGCGCCGAGACCTCGGCGGAGGACGAAGGTGAGCGGGCAGCGGCGGCGCGAGGTCTCCTCCGGGAGCCTTCTTCCCAGGCGGGGCGCAGAGCTCAGGGCCCAGCCGCCAGGCATCGCGCTGGGCCCGAGGGATTTGGCCAGGGGGCTCCTCGGAGCGCGTCCCTGGGAGGTCAGGCTCCCCGTGACACGTGGCCATGGTTGGGGCGAGGTCAGGGATCGCGCTGGGAGGGCGGATGGGGCTCCGGGTGCCCGCGCTGTCCCCGCGTTGTCCCCGCGTGCCACCGACCGTGCCTGCGCCCCCGCAGGGATCAGCCTGCACGTCGACTCGCTCACGGACCACTCGTGCTCGGCCGAGTCGGACGGAGAGAAGCTGCCGTGCCGCGCCGGGGACCCCTTGTGTGAATCGGGCTCAGAATGCAAGGACAAGTACGATGACCTGGAGGACGACGAAGACGATGAGGAGGAGGCCGAGCGGGACCTGGCGCCACCCAAGCCTGTGACCTCGTCGCCGCTCACCGGCGTGGAGGCGCCTCTGCTGAGCCCCCCGCCCGAGGCCGCGCCCCGCGGTGGCGGCGGCGGCAAGACACCCCTGGGCAGCCGGACGTCGCCA